GGAGAGGAGAGGAGAGGAGAGGAGAGGAGAGGAGAGGAGAGGAGAGGAGAGGAGAGGAGAGGAGAGGAGAGGAGAGGAGAGGAGAGGAGAGGAGAGAGTATAGGTTGGCCATGAACACGTAGAGAGGGTGGAAAGGGGAATGGGAAGAGAAGGGTCAGAGAGGGAAGAGAGTAAGAGGTGTGAGCAAGCGACACTTACATTTTGAGAGCATCGACAGATCTCTGGTCATTTTCTCGTAGGAACTCTTCAAAGGACAATACGTCATCTTGGAGCTTTTTCTCGGCTTTTCTGAGTTGACTTTCTTTCGTGGCTATGAGTCTTTCAAACCTTTTGATTGTGTTTTTCTTGGTCGACACTGCATACTAGGAACATTGAGAACAAGAATGGGTCAGATGCATTCCGTGGCACATTGCCAGAAGGTTCCATGGCGTGGTACACCAGTAGATTTCAACGGAATCTCCCCAGAGGGAACTGCAGCAAGGGATCACTTGGGTTGGAAGTAATAATAACACCCATAGAGCTGGGCCTGCATCTCATGAGGTTGCTTTGGGGACACTCAGCAGGGAAGTTAAGGTTAAGCCTTCTCCCACTAGCTTTCATTAAAGGACTTTGTGTTCTTCTAAAATGGCTGCTACCAAAAAAAAAAAAAAGGTCTGTTACCCATGATGCACTCTGGTTTTCTGAACACAAGAAAACCAGGCTGTCTGTATCTACCAAGCCTCCTATCTTCTCCTCTATTAGAAATCAGTTTTAACTCTGGATGCAGTAATGGATTTCTCCAGGCTGGCCTAAGGGTGTGGGTTATTTAACCAAATCCAGAGATCTGTTTAGATCCTCAAATGTGATTTTGACAACTACCTAATTATTTTTAGTACAGTATATGAAATATGAGACCACATGGATGTTTCCCTGCCTCTCCCTGTGTGTGTATGTATATACAGTAGCTTCTACAGTAGCCGTTTTCTGTCCGACTTCCTTTAAAGGCTCCAACTAGACACCCCATGCTAGAACATAAAAGCCCAGTGCCATGAATGCACTACTCTTTTTGAGTTGTTGATCAGTGGAGTTCCACTAACCTCCAAACATTATTAGCTATTGACATCGCTCTTGGTTACCCTCCAAAACTCGACCGTCAGGCCTTGTGTCGGCTAGTTTTTTTGTCAACTTGGAACAACTTAGAGTCATCAGAGAGGTGAGAGTCTCAACTGGAAAAAAATGCCTCCATAATATGGGCTTGTGGGCAAGCCTGTGAGACACTTTCTGGATTAATAATTGTTGTGGGCATTGGTGAACTGGCTCCAGGGGCGTTAGAGAAAGGGGGGTGAGGAGGGGAGCTGGCCCTAACACTTGTCGGCTGAAGCATTGGATGAGGTAGCCAGGATAGTGCTGGAGAGGGCCTTAATGGTGAGGGTGTATGAGGCCTGGTGGACTAACTGACTCAGCTACCATCCCGGCCCAGATCCCGGGCTTTGAGCTGGCCCATCCCAACATCTCCATCTATGAACTGCTGGAGTGTGTGAATAGACTGGTCCTGCAGAAACAAAGCTGCAGGATCTCCACGACACGCAGGGTATCAGAGAGGAGCCCCAGTGAGGATCCAGTATTGATGGTGTAGCAGAAGCCAGAGGCCTCGAGCCAGACCCGTGACTCACTGCAATAAACATTTGCAAGTAAAGATGTGTGAACACAAGGGTATATACTGTGGGACACACTGCAGTTTCCATGATGAGATTTTCGTTTTGATTTGTGATATTTACATTTTTGTTTCTTGAGGGTAGGGGGTGGGGTTGCAAGGGCAGAGGGTGGGTACCAAGGGATGAGGAGATGAGTGGGTGGGGGTACATGATCTTAAATTCACAAAGAATAGGTAAAAAGTTTTTAAAATATATTTAAATAATACATTGCTAGTAAAGAAAGGACCGTGGGCAGGTAAGAAGATGAGGGTTGATCTGGAACGAGTTGGCGTGTGTGTGTGTGTGTGTGTGCGCGTGTGCGTGCATGTGTGTGTGTGAAGTTATCAAAGGATAAGAATGATATTATTAAAAAGAACAAATTTTGGATATAGAAGAATGCTCTTTCTGTGTTGAGATGATTATACAGCTTTTTGCTTCTAATCTGTTGATGTGTGTTATGTTTACCCATTTTCAAATGCTAAGCTGCTCTCGCCTGCTTAGAATAAGCCCCAATTAGCCATAATGGGTTGTCCTTTTGTGAATTATCATATTTGATTTGTTGAAATTTGTTTGGAATGCTTGCCTCTCATGTTCTTATTATTCTTTAAAGATTTATTATTGTTAGTTACTTAGTACAGTGCATCTCTCAGCTATCATCAGTTGGGCAGGGACACGAGGTCAGAGGACAACTTATAGAAGTCAGTTCTCTCCTTCCACCATGTTGGTCCCAGATGTTGAATTCATATATTAAGGCTTGGAGCCATGTGCCTTTACCCACTAAGCCATCTCATAGGGTCTGTGTTTTCTTTTCTTCTAAAGTCTGTATGTTATTCAGAGATCAGGACAATATTCTTGGTATTAACGGGTCATGTAAAATTAGAATGGTTTTCTCTTAAAATGTCTGCTACAATTACCCAATTGTCTATTAATTAATGTGGACTTTTTTTCCCCCTTTGGCCTACAAGTTCAATTTGTACAGTGATATAAAGCTATTGTGTGTTTTCTTCTTGGATAAGCTTCGCTAGTTTGTAACTTTCCAGAAATCTGTTCCGTCCATGTTGAATTACTGGCATAAAAAAATCGTTCATAGTAGTAAACTCACATTGCTATGAAACTACTGCTATGAATCGTAATGGAAATATCCTGATATACAGGCTATCTGACAGGCAACTTTTCCAAAGGGGTTGAGACCCACAGGTTGAGAACCACTGGTTTAGAGGCTCTCTAGATGCAAAATTTCTAGGACTCCCTCCCCATGGAGTCAGCCCATGGTTCCATTCCTGCGTCTGTAGCAATAAACACACAGTACAGCCAGCGATGGAATCAACTGGGATTCACTGGCCTGAATTTCCAAAGAAGCTTCATTCTGTAGACATGATTAATTGGCATCTCTTCAGTCCCCTGACCCTTTCGGTATGACCCCCAAACTGCCACACTGTTGGTTTTTCTGACATGGCCATCCTAAGACTGGCACGTATAGTCAGCCTTACCTTGAAGATATCCTTATGAGCTGTGACATAGATCACCTTCTAGAAGACAAGGCCAGAGCCAGGCATTGTTTGAGCCAGGTCAATTTTTCTCCAGCTATAGTTTTAGTGATAAACTGACTTCATTATATCACTTGGGGCTTGTTATCAAACTGCTTTCGGGACTGGAAAAATACCAGAGCAGAGGACGAGGCACATGTACTCCAAATGTGTTCAGATCCCAGAGAATCTGCCTGGAACCACCTTCTCTTAGCCGAGACATTAGTTACAGCTGCAAGGTTTCACAGTGAAAGACCCAAAATCACACCCAGGAACTAATAACATTAGCAAGCAAAGGCATGGCGTTCTATTCACAACTGTACGGTGTAGATTATCTGAGTTCTTTCTTGTTGGTTGCAGCTGGCTTCAAGGGTGAACGTTAACTTTGGCCTGTATTCCAAAATGTGTGCTGAGATTAGGAAAGGTCAAATACATTTTCATTGACTTGCTAGCATTCAAGACCCCAACAGATACGAACTGTCTGCAAAAGACTATGACTTGACAACAGGTATAAACAACAGCCAATTGATTCTCTTCGTAATTACTCTCCCAGGGTTGCATGCACAGTGTCTCTATCTATGGAAAATTAATATGTATAAAAGGACAGTAAGTAATGTATTGTAATATGGCCTGAAGACACGATAAAACCTTCTATTATTTTATAAGATATGTTAAGATCTTCCTTGGTTGGCTATACTGTGTGTTCATTTTGACGCAGGAACGGTGTCACAGTCTGACTACATGGGAAGGGAGTCCCAGAACCTTTGCTTTGGAGTGCTTCTAAACTCTGTTTCCTAGGGCTCTTCTGGGTGATTTTAAGGTTTTCTTTCCTTGTAATAAAGCCTGGAAATTTCTCTCTGGTCTGAGTGGTTAGAGAGTGGGAAGATTCCAGAATGTTCTGACTCCCACCATAGTCAACCAGAATATTAACAAAAATCTAAATCAGGTTAGGCTTATCAAAGGCTACTGAGGCTGTCACAGACATAATTAGGGAAAAAAAGGGATCTTAGGGCCCGATGATGTCATCCTCTATAAAAATCAAACTACTTCCCAGGCTACTGGTATAAAGTATGTGAATGTTAAGTTCTCCAAAGGGACGGAACTTCGTAATGCCTTGGCACATAATAAGTACTCAATAAATATTGTTCAAGTGAATAAATGCAGGAATGAGCCACTCTGTTCAGGCAATAGACTTGAGGGGGAAAATCTAACACCAAGGCAAGTACCTGGCAATACTATGCAAGAAGTCTCCTCATCAACAGGAGAAAGAAATTGCTTTTAATACCTCAAGCAGAAATCTGTCTCTTTGGTCATTAATAAATTCATGGACGGTCCTCTTTCTGTCCGCACCTGGAGAAAACATTGAAACAGGCATATGTTTAGTTTGCTTGCTTTCAAAGAGTGTGCGTTATCACATACACTGTGAATCAGACTTAGCAAAAGAGCTTTGCTCTCCAGTAAAGTAACTGGTTAGGGAAAGATGACAACTAGTTTTACCCCGCAGGGAACTGAGTAGGAATTCCAAAAATCATTCACATTTTCTTCACTACATTCCCACATTCATTCTGCGTGAAACCGACAGAGTGCAGTGGTACAGAGTAACAGTCTCTCGCTAACCGTGGGAATAAAAATACTACTACTTCCTAAACAAGCAGAGGGTCTGTGCAGCGCTGGGAGATTCATGTCTCCCTGCAGATGTACAAGGTTTCTGCATCTAACTAGCTGGGAGAGAGATCCTTACTTTCTCCGTGCCTCAGTTCCCTCATCTGTGTGAAGACTGTTGCCCCACCCACAGCTCATGGCTGTCGATGGGCTGTCATGGAACAGATGTGGAGCTATGTGACTTCCAAGAAGCTTCAAGAGCTCATAGCTACAGCCTTTGTGATGTTCTGGACAGAGATTGCTCCTTTAGCAGAGACCCAGACAGGAAGGCAACAAACCTGATAAGTGACTGAGAATTTAAACCCCTGGGATCAGAAGCCACTGCCATCACAATGTGGCTTATTATGAAAGCAGAAGGTAACCCACACAGGAACATCCCTCTACTTCACAATGGTGCTAGAAGGAAATGAGGTCATAGAACACAAAACACACAGTTTCTCAATCACTACTAGCTGCTATTGTTCAAGCAATACACTTGGGATGAGTCATTTCATTTTACGATCAACCGTGAAAGCCACAGTAATTGTTATAATCATTAACAAAATATTCATTGCGAGGGAACCTTGGAGTCAGGCAGGCTTTGACCTGAATTCTGCATTTGCTTAGAGATGTGAAATGATGCCACCTCCCCGAGCTATTTTCTTCTGGGAAGAGGACATCTAACCACATTTTGTTGCAGATCAAATATAACACACCCAGGTGATTATCACTTAGACACAGCTATATTTTTAATACTTTAAAAACTGCACAAACTGGAAGCCACTAACATTCATAACAGTGCATCCCGAAGTCCAACTACTTCAACATTGTTGATATATTTTAGGTCTTGCCTGTTGATACCTCTCCTTAAGTTTCCCCCACTAGAATATTCTGAAAAGCAGTAAAACATCTTGGACTAGTTGATCTCTGAGCATTAGTGCATTTAGAGAGTTTATCTTTATCAGAGAGTTTAAACGATAATGTTCTCACCATCCTCGACCTCCAACAAATCAACAATTCCTTAACACCATCTTGTGTCTGGCCTGAGATTTCACAATTGTCTTCCCAAACACCTCCATCCCATCCTGCACTGGTGCTTTAAAGCGCAGTGAGACATCTGGGCAGACAGAGCCTGCAACACAGCCTATTCAGAGTTGATGATGTGTTTGCATTTGTCCTTGTTTATCCAGGCAAGGTTTTTCTGTATAGCCCTGGCTGTCCTGGAACTCACTCTGCAGACCAAGCTGGCCTCAAACTCAGAGATTCACCTGCCTCTGCCTCCCGAGAGCTGGGTTTAAAGGAGTGTGCAGCAGTACCACTGCTGGCTCTTTTTTGGTTTGGTTTGGTTTGGTTTGGTTTGGTTTGGTTTGGTTTGGTTTGGTTTGGTTTGGTTTGGTTTTGACAGGATCTCCTGTAACCCCTGTTGACCTCAAACTTGCTCTAGAGCAGAGGATGCCCTTGAACTCTGATTTTTCCACCTCTGCTTCCTGAGTTCTGGCATTGCAGGAATGCCCCTCCACATCTGGTTTAGAGCTGTTTCCTCTAAAAGCAAAGCCAAAGTCTTACTGTCACTGGATAGAGAATGAGCAGGTGGCATAAGAAACCAACCTGCCACTGGCATTTAAGTATTTGTAAATTTCCTTTGATGGTGACCTAGCCATTCACCACAAGTGCAAAACCAGAAATACAAGAATTGTGACTCCCCAAGTGGGACCACTGGCTTATTTTACACAAACAAACACACACACACAGACACATACACATGTGTGTGTACACGTTATATATCCATTTATATATATATTAATATATGTAATAGAATATATTATAATATAATTTATATATAAATATATTATAAAACGTATAATATATAAAATATATTTTTGAAATCAGAATTCATATAGAGACTATAAGGTTGAGCAAAAGTGATTTCACTCAGATCAGTCCTTGATTTGAGATGCAATTCAAGGGAGATGCCTTTAAGTGAAAATTCCGTATTGCTTGTCTGTGCCAGATTGTTGACAGAGCCTCAGATAATGCATAAAAGTTGGACTCTTTTCCTCCGGAGGATCCTGTCCTGTGGCAGTCATTCCACAGCAATGACACAGGGGAGGGCTGGATCACTGAGGACTGCTGGGGATTGTCACCTCTTTTGCAAGGAACTGTAGAGATGCCACTTGTGGCTTTACAAGTTCTTCATGGCCCAAGACTCAACATGGAGGCACAAGTTGGAACCCAGAGGTCTCCGAGACCTGGTGCTGTAGCTGGACCCAACTCTGACCTGCCATTTACTGCTGTTCAGTCAAATATACATCTACGAGACCACCTACATCGATTAATGTTGCTTGCGTCTTCTTATTAAGGATTTTGGGGGTCTGGAAAGTTGGCTCAGCAATTAAGAGCACTTGTTCATTTTTCAGGAGACCCAGGTTCAATTCCCAACACCCATCTGGAAGCTCAAAACTGACTGTTAACCTCAATTCCCAGGGGATCTGACACACTTATATACATGGGGACAAAACACTCATATGCACAAAATAATCAAACAAATTAGCCCAAGGGTTTTTAGGAAGATTTATTTATTTTTATTTTATGTATAAAGTGTTTTTTCCCTTGAGTGTATGTCTGAGCACGTATATGCCTTGTTCCAGAAGGAGGCAGAAGAGAGTTCTTGATCCCTTAGAGCAGGAGTGACGGGTTGTGAGCCTCCATGTGGGTGCTGGGAACAGATCCCGAGTCCTCTGGAAGAGCAGCAATTGCTTTTGCTTGCTGAGCTATCTAGCCAGCCTGTCTTTTCCTTAAGATTGATTCATTTCTTTTTATGCATATGAATATTTTGCCTGCATTCATGTACATGCGCTCCATGTGTGCCTGGTGCCCGAGGAAGTCAGAAGAAGGTATTATCTCCCTTCAGACTGGGGTTACAACTGGTGGCGAGCCACGGTGAGGATGCTGGGAACCAAAGCCCAGTCCTCTGCAAGAGTAGCAAAGGGCTCTTGACTAAGCCGTCTTTCCAGCCTCATGGCTTGCTTTCTCTATGGGAGGTGGTGAACTCAAAGTCCCTTTTCTCATGACCCAATCTGGCCTTATTTGGCTGCAGAGTATTTTCATGTGTGGGTGCTTCTTGATCTGTGATGCACAGGAAATGCTTATGACACTTCTGATGACCAGGTCACTAAACCAGGCCTATTTTTTTTTTTTGCAATGATAGACATTTGTTCACCCCATCAACTTCCTGATGCTGTATGTCTGAGTCTCATTTTGAACCACCAAAGCTCCTCCAACCTTAGAAAGTGTCTATGCTTCCATACCTCAAATAGTACAGCTACTAGGGCTTCTGATTTCATATCACTCGGCTTCGATGTCAACACTATTCTTTGGTGTTGACTTCCTTCCTTCCCAAAAGCAGAAGAAGAATAAGGATCTTCTTGAGAAAGTATCTTCTTACCTAAGCTGCTTTCTTCTTGTTCTCAAGCCTATGGCAAAGATCTTACCTGCCATATTGTAACAGGCCTCAGAACTTAACATGAACGACACCATGTTAAATGTACCATTTTGAACTTAAAACCCAGCACATGGTCCCCAACACGTGCCAAAATGGAAACAAAGACCTGGTCCAGGGTTTTAGAAAAGTCCACAAAAAAAGTCCCTAAATAAACTTTGCTGTTTAGGCTTCTGTACTTCTGCGTCTTGCTTACTGAAGTATGCCGACCAGGATTGTGTGTGTGTGATATTTTGTTTTTTACATAAAAGACAAATGGCTGTGAGACTTGGGACCGCATGATTTGGGCAAGTTTCTCATGAAGCCACTGACTTGCAATCAAGACTTTCCTTTTGACTTTAAGAATGTCTGTGTTGGCCTGACAGTGGTGACACATGCCTTAAATCTCAACAGAGGCAGAGGCAAGTAGATCTCTGAGTTCCAGGACAACCTGGTCTGTAGCAATTGTTCCAGGACAGCCAGGGCTACACAAGAAAATCAAAAAAAAGGGGGGGTTAGTTCATGTTGTGGTCTTTGGTAAGCTTATCTTACAACAGTAAGAGCACCATTGATTCTGTCCCTCTCAGCACCAGAAAAATCTCCCAAACCTACAATGAATAGCACATATCCAAAAGAACATCTTAAGACTAAGAATAGGGAATGGAAAGATGGCTCAGTGGTTAAGAGCACTGGCTGCTCTTCCAGGGTTCAATTCCAGCACTCACATGGCAGCTCTTAGCTGCCTGTAACTCCAGTTCTAGGTTATCTGAATGTACATAAAATAAAAAATAAATGATATATATACACATGTATATATATATATAGACATGTATACATATATGAGTATATACATGTATATACATATGTATATGTATATGAAATACCAATATACATAAAATAAATAAGTTATATATACATAGTTATATATACATATATATACATATATACATACACACATACACACACACACACACACACACACACACACACATATATATATATATATATGAATGACTAAGGGTAACGTTGACTTACTAGCTTAGGATTTCAATTGCTGTGGAGAGACACCATGACCACAGAAACTCTATAAAGGCTAACATTGACTTGGGCCCAGCTTATAGTTTCCATTGTCATCGTGGCAGGAAGCATGGCTGTGTGCAGGCAGACACGAGGCTGGAGGACCTGAGAGTTCTACATCTTGATTAGCAGGAAACCAAGAGGAGGCTGGATTTGTTTCACACTTGGGCACAGTTTAAACATTTAAGACGACAAAGCCCACCCCTAGGGTGACAAACTTCCTCTAATAAGACCACACCTTCTCACAGTACCCCTACCCGTGAGCCAAGCATTGGAACACATGAGTCTGTAGAGGCTAAACCTCTTGGAACCACCACACTTACCTTCTGTCAGTCTGAGAATAAGAGTAGGATCTAGCCCCAGACGTTCATAGGAACCGCCACCTGCCTCAGCAAAAAACGCCAGCTGGCCAAGGTGCGAGCGACTCTTCATTCGGGACGAAAACGTGGTCTTTTGGTAGATTTTCATGCTGTGGTTCTTCATTCTTTCCTGCCCAGGGTGCAAAAGCATGAGAGGAATTTTAATGCACCAAAGTATTATATTGTTATAATGGTGCTCACATGTACAGAGCAAAGACCTTTGCCGTTAAGCTGGCCCATGAGCTCACCCTGGAAGGAATGTACCCAGCATCCTTTTCTTTCTTATATGGAGACAAGGATTATGTTTCAAAGGCGGGCCTTATATAAACTATCTCAGAAACGGAGACAGAAAAATGTCAATCTAGATTAAATGTATGGAAAATATGGAAATTTCAAAGGCTTTTTTTTTTAGCCCGCTGAAGCTGAAAACTTAAAGGAAGGCAGACTTCCACAGAAAGTAGTGAAAACCCACTCTTTGGAGTTCTTTCAACTTCTCTCAGTTTAATCTTGAGTGAAGCTCACCAAGGCACACAATGCCCAGAGAAAAGGCATCCCTGGATGAACACACTCCATGTTTCTAGCTATTTTATTCATCCTACCAAGGGCCAGAAGAGTCCTTTAATCCGTTACCTTTGGGAAGAAAGGTTGAATTCAGGCCCACTGCTGATTTTTTTTATTCCAAATTATTCTAAAAATAATCCCCTTGCCTTTTCATACCCCCCCTTCTTCTCCTCTCTCTCCGAAGCACGTATAAACGTGTTTATCCGTAACAGCTTTGACACACTTTGGATTGATTATTCTTAAGGACTCAGCCCCTGTCACCACAGTGACTGCTTTGTCTCTCCTTCCCACTCTTTCTTCTCTGTCCACAGAGCAGATCTCTGCAGTCTCCTTCACACAGCTCTGACTGTAGGACCTGTTGGTCCCAAGGTGCTACCCATGCTAAGATGTACTTTTATTTTGTGCTCGGCCAGTGAGGTGCAACATGTCATCTGTGCAAGCTAGATCCAATTTCATAAATGTAGCAATATGAAAACCCTGGGGGGTCAGACAGGAGGAGGAGAGAGAACCATGCCTTTGAAGCTAGTTGGTAATGGCGTAGCGGCCTTCTCCCACTAGGTGGCGATCTCTGAAGGTCCCTGTGTACCCCAGTTCTCAGCATGAACACTTCCCAGAATGGCGCCAAATACGGGACAAGGTGTATCAGTATCTGACACCGTGTCTTCACCCGTAAAACTAGTGAGATCTATGGCTGACAGCACTCCGTTCTAACCTATGTGGGGATTCTGATCAAGTGAGATGTATGGCTAACAGCACTCCGTTCTAACCTATGTGGGGATTCCGATCTTAAGAACACCTTACCCTTTTCCTTGCAGCAATTTCATTTTCTTTGAAAAGGAAGAGATCTTTGAAAAAGATCTTGTAGGGTTTTTCCTTTTTGAGTGCAGCATCTTTTCCTTCTTCTAAAAGGAAAGAAAGACAGAAGGAAGGAAGGAAAGAAAGAAAGAAAGGAAAGAGAGAGGGAGGAAGGGGGAAGGAGGGAGTTGTTAGTTCCTTTATTGGTCAGAACTAGAAAGTCCCCACCAGCAGGAGCAGAGAAATAAGATGCAGGGGTCTCTGAGAAGGTGGGTTGCATACGGATCTTGCCCTCCAGTTGAACCTGGTAATATACTCCTGGATCTCCCCGGTAAGAGCCACATCTTCTCTCCCCACTCTCAAGGGCTCAACTTCAGGGCTCAGCATCAGGAGACACGAGCCATTGCAGTCCAGTGAACAGTAGCAAACTGATGCACTCTGACTTTTTTTTTTTAAATGCAGCTTTGTCCCTTACCCGTAAAACCACCACGGTCCCTAATCATACCAGGTACGTAGCAAGAATACATCGACTGGTTGTTTTTTACCTCCAGAACTCCTTGACGTGTGTAATTGGGATGTCATTTTGTCTCCTGGTCCTATCCAGGGAAAAAGAAAATACACCTTTCAAAAGTTCTGTAGACACAAGTGAGTATGCGCAAAATAAACTATTTGCCTAGAATAAAATGTAACAAACTATATACAGGTGCTGGAGTATTCTTCCGCTGAGAGCTTGCTTGCTCTTCCAGAGGGCCTGAGTTGGGGTCCCAGCAGCTATGTTGGGCAACTTACAACTGCCTGTAACTCCAGGTCTGGTGGCTCCAGGGCCCTCTTCTGGACTCTGTAGGCACCTTCACTCACAGGCACACTCATATACACACACATGTATACATACCTATACACACATACATACACATCCACACACAGACACATATATCTACACACATCCACACACATACAGACACACACATCCACACACATACAGACACACACATATACACACATACACACATGAACACAAACACAGACATACACATAAATACACATATATACACATATATACATGCATATATACATACACACAAAACACACAGACACATACATATACATCTATACAAATACACACACATGTGTGCATATACACACAAATACATACACATTATGTACACATATACACAGATACACACATACAGACAAATACAGTCAAACACACATGCACACACATACACACACGCAAACACAGAGACACAGACATACACATACACACACATATAGACACACATATACACATAATTAAAACAAAAGAAATCTTTTGACATTTTGGTTGTGAGCCTAGCTTTTAATGGCTGAGCCATCTCTTCAGTCTGAAAAATAATTTAAATTCTTTTTTAAAAAATTAAAAAAAAAAACCCAAACCTGTATATATTGTAACAAACATGGCTAAATTCAATAGTCGGTGACTTCCCAACAACTGTTCTGGCTTTAGAAACCATGAGCACACAAACCCCTGTATCCAGCAGTTTTTCTAATTCTAAGAATGGGCACCCCAGAAAATAATCAATCCTGAGAGCAAAAACATAGGTGCAGTAGTGTTTGTTCCATACCATTTAATAACCTGGGAGCTGACTGTGAGCCCCTACACACCGTAAACGAAACTTCCAGTGTGTTCTTTAGTGAGATGCTGGGGTCACTCTTTTCCTGGTGTCCACTTATTGTAAGTTAAAAAAAAACAAAACAAAACCAACAACCCCCCCCAAAACCAAAAAACAACACACACGCACCAAAAAAAAAAAAAAAAAAAAAAAAACCAGAGCTGATGAGATGATCCAGAACCTCTGACCTCCACACGTATACACAGGCAAGATCAATCTACCACCAACCAACCGATCAATTAACATATTTCTAAAGCGTAGGTAGGGACAGCGTGGGTAGAGAAAACTGCATGTGAAGCCTGGGTTTCCAAAAGCTGGTGAACAAGCAGGCACCTGGAGCCGTGTATTTACCCCACACTCTCTCTCTGGCCGGGCTGGGGGTGAGGCTGGGGAAGGGGGTGGCGTACTCACTTCAGCTGTTAAACTCAAAGAATTGCCAAAGATAAATAAATTAATAAGTAAATGTAGATAAATAAAGTGAAAACAAGAAGTTTGAGACTACAACTGAACTGTGAAGGTACATAACAGGCTAGTGAAATCTTTAAGAAGTCCACACTAGGGGTTGGGGATTTAGCTCAGTGGTAGAGCGCTTGCCTAGCAAGCACAAGGCCTTGGGTTCGGTCCTCAGCTCTGAAAAAAAAAAGACAAAATAACAAAGAAGTCCACACTAGTACAGGAAAATTGATGAAAAACTGATGCTACAGTCTTCGGGCGTCCTGAGATGCCTGTCTTTCCTTTCATCTTTATTTCCCTTATGACTAAGGAGGTCTGTGGAAGAAGGAATGGAGGTAGAAGAGAGTCCGCTAGTTCCATCCAGAAGAAGGCAGCTGGGCAATGCCCTCTGTAGAAGAAAACACCACCATAGTGGTGGTGTCTGAACAAAAGTTAGGTTTTTTTCAGTTCATAGTCAGTGTCTAGTGCAGATTTTCTCAACCTGGGGGTCTCGACCCCTTGTGGGGGACGAATGACTCTTTCACTGGGGTTGCCTAAGACCATTGGAAAACACAGATATTTACATTTATAATTTACAATTTATAACGATAGCAACGTTACAGTTAGGAAGCAGCAATAGAAATCGTGTTATGTTTGGAGGTCACCGCAGCATGCATAAAAGGGTCTCAGCATTAGGAAGGTTGAGAACCGCTGTCCTAGGTTCAGTTCTCCCTGACCTCAATGCCCTTTCCGTTTTTTCTCCCCACCTCCACCCACCTTGGACAAATACTAAGAGGAAAAGCTGTGAACTGTGGCCTTCAACGGTGTGGATCTATGTGAGCCAGCAGTTTGTTATTTACCCACAAGCCCCTGGGTCCTTGACCTACTCTATGGCCTGCCTCTTTCATCAGGTCAGAAGCGGATCCGAAGGTGAGAAAACACCTGTCCGCTTGACCTCTTTTCGCCCTGCTGGCGTCAGGCTTGCTGCTTTGTGTGGACTTTTCTGCTGATGTTTCTGGTGGCCTCTTTGGTAACTCGAAGGGAAAGAAAAGAAAAACATACCCGAGGGTCAAGGGTCAAGAAGCAAAGGGAGGCTAGCAGGAGGGGTCCTGATGTGAGTGTGGTGATGTGAGCATGGAAAGCCAGTGCGAGGAGGATGCTGGGAGTACCAAGAATTTTGGTGCTTTAAAATGGTGGGTGTGTGTGTGTGTACACAAGAGGGAAGTGTCTGTAGAGGGTGTTTGATTCTCTGGAGCTGGGGTTACAGGCACTTGTGAGTGGCCTAATGTGGGTGCAGGGATCTGACCTTGGCTCCTTGGAAGAGCAGTGAGGACTCTTAACAGCTGAGCCTCACTAACACTTAAGTCTTTTTTTTTAAAAGATTTATTTATTTATTATATATGAATACACTGTAGCTGTCTTCAGACACACCAGAAGAGGGCATCAGATCTCATTACAGATGGTTGTGAGCCACCATGTGGTTGCTGGGATTTGAACTCAGGACCTCTGGACGTGCAGTCAGTGCTCTTAACCACTGAGCCATCTCTCCAGCCCCAAGTCTTTGGTCCTAAAGCTTCCTGCGTCTACAAACGCTATGTTGACAAGCGGCCCTCCTTGGACAGTCAATCAGATGTGTTCAGGCCACCCACTGACATAACCACCCATTAAAAAGAAGAATGATCTCTTTTTAGGCTCCTGGGAATATATAAATCATAAGCATGGTGTGTGGTACATTCTACGAAGCCAGGGGAGAAACTGGTACTTCAGCATGACATATGATCTCTAACCTTACTGACAATCAAGGAAAATAGCATTAAAATAAACTAATAACAGTGGCCATGGTCACAGTTCCTTTACATGAGAGTATTGCTCCAAGTGAGGTTTTATCTGAAGGTCAAGCAAATCCACAAAGCTGTATAAAGTGAAGAAAACTGCCTTGGGGAAATTTTAAATAGATTTCCTGAGGACAGGTCAGTGGAGACGTAGCAGCAGTAGGAACAAGAGGCATTTGTTGAAACCCAGATTTGAACCCATCCTTTATTCCTGCCATTGCCTTTGCCTGCCAAAAGTAACAGGTTAGCCGAAATTTTATAGTATAAGAATTCAATAACTCTCTATCCATAAGTGACTGCGTTTCTACCCTCTGCCATTTCTACTCCCTGTGCCCTTTTCTTTTTTTATTTTTTATTTTAGACAGTGAGTCACTGTGTAGACCAGGCTAGCCTCAAACTCACAGAGATCTACCACCACCCCTGGCTAATATCTAATTTTTTTTTTGGCACCATATGGACATTTGTGGTTGCATTTCTGCTCTGAGAGCAGCTGTTGGGTTTTCTATTCACGTTATTTTATAACTTCTTTTGTTTTTGTCTTGTTTTTTTTTCTACCCCATCTTTATTTTATTACAGGACATGGTGTGGACCTAAAGGACATTTGTTTCTAATTGTTCGTCGAAAGATATTTTTGCTGTCTGTTTTATAATGGCGATAAGGTGACCCAAAATTATCTGTGTGATTTGCAGAGTAAGCCTACTTTTATGGCACCGTTTTCTGTCATTTTTCCCCCTCCATATCCCTTGTATTATTTGCTGGGCAGGGAAAGTAACTCTCTCATCTTTTTATGAAACATACCATAGAAACCAAATAACTTAAGGATGGTATGGTAGTATATGTCTTTAGTCCCAGCACTGATGGCAGTGTGTGCGTGTGTGTGTGTGTGTGTGTGAGAGAGAGAGAGAGAGAGAGAGAGAGAGAGAGAGAGAGAGAGACAGAGAGACAGAGAGACACACAGAGAGAAATAGAGACAGACACAGGTGGCCAGAGTCAGGTAGATCTCTAAATTAAAAGGCTCTCCTGGTCTACACAAAGAGTGCCAGAACAGCCAGGGTTACATAGTGAGACTCCTCTCAACAAGAGAAAAAAAGACCAACGTGGGAAGCCCTAAAACCATATACATACAAGTAACATTACACAGACTGAGCAGATTGTATTTATGTATTTAGGGACACACACACACCATATGTATGTAACAACAAGGTAGAAAAGGTCTTGAATTTGAAAGAGAACAAGAGAGGTTTAGGATGAAAATGGGAAATGACGTCATTGTAATCTCAAAAAATTTTTTTGAATATTTAAAAAAAAAGAATCTGAACAAATCCTGCCTGCCAGCCTTCTCTAAACAATCTGGATGCTGTCTACAATGTTGAATGCAGCGGTGTATGTGGAAGCCACCACACTAGGGAGGAGTGGGGGGGGGGTGGCCGACATCCAGGTCAAATCTGGTTTTACCTCAAGGAGTTTGGATCACAGTTGAGACCTATCCTTCACGAAGGCGGTAGGGACAAAGCAGACAGAGGCAGTAAACCGATACTCTGGGTCTCAGCTTCATCCTTCCCTGCCCCAGGTCCCCTTCATCCTGGGAACTGCCTGGTATTAGACCCAAGAGCCGATCTGACCAACTGAACAGTGGGTGGCACCCGCAACCCTGCTGGAGGGGTCGCGC